GCCTGGGTAGGTGTAGTTTAGGAGAGCATTGTCTAGGGCCATGTCCTGTGCTCCTCAACTATGAGACCTACCTGCACTATGTCTCCTTTCAGCCAGGAAAGCCTTTGCCATGGCACAGCTGCCCCTGAAAATTCTTGGGCACATCCAGAGCTGGAACAAGGTGACCCTCATTCTAGCTGCATAAAGTCCAGCTTTTTATAGACATTGTTTTAATGACATGCTCCCCTTGTCATTGCTGAACTTTACATGAGGCACCTCCGAGCTCAGATGACCTGGCCTCCCTTCTGGATCACACTGACCGTTTCTCTTTAGCTCCCAGATCACCCATGGGACCACAGCCCATTCTCCTCTAAGGGGTCATCCAGCTGTGGTCCCTCCCCGCCTCCAGACAGGCCCTTCTGATGAAGAGAACCGGGGACATGGGAGATGCTGAATGTGGACTGAAAAGAGAGTCCAGCCACATCCCTGCACCATGGCAGCTTGTGCTGCCTGGCCCCAGGCCCTGCTGGGAAGTAGAGAGGGCCTCTGTGCAAGAGGGTGGTGAAGCGGGATGGTCTGGAGAAAGGGGAGCCGTGTGGCCATGGGGAGGCAGGGCAGGAGGATTGGACTAGTCGCCTCCTGGCAGCTCCTTTTCCCCTGGGCTCCTGGGCTCTGAGAAGGTGTTTGGAACTCCAGCAGCAACACTGAGGTGCCGGAACGGTGATTCTGATGGTGATTGTTGCTCTGTTCTTGTCTGTCTAATATTCCTTTTTAATCCCCATCCTGCCTGCCCCTCCCTTATGTAGGGTTACTTTAGTGATCCCTGGAATGTTTTTGACTTCCTCATCGTAATTGGCAGCATAATTGACGTCATTCTCAGTGAAACTAATGTGAGTATGACTCTGCCCTCCCCAGGAACCTTCTCCTTCCTCTTCTTCTGCCTTGTGTTTCCCTCTCACTCTCTCTCTCTTTACCTCCTTTTATTTATTTGTTTTAATTTCCTGTTTTTACCCCCCTCCAGTCATGCTTTTTATTGAACCTGCCGTCGTCCTGTGAGGGAAAAAAAGTGGGAGCCTCTCCTCCTTTTTTTCCACTAGTCCCAGCTCAGCCCTGTGTGCCAGGCCCAGGGGCTTGGCCGAGTGGAGGGAGCAGGCGGTGGGAGGCCGCCAGCTCCCCTCCCAAGTGGCCACAGCCCGGCGTAACCTTTGAACTAACCCAGCTTTTGTCAGGCCTCTCCACCCTGCGAAAACCAGGTGACCCAGGTTTGAGCCACCAGGACTGTAGAGTGGTAAGAGAGTATTTACTATGCCCATGTAACCTCTTTCTTTTCTCATTTTTTTCTCTTCTCTCCTTTCTTTCATGCTTTGTTTTGTTTTGTTTTGTTTTTCCTCTTCCTTTTTGTTTTGTTTTTCTCCTTTGTTGTTGGTTTTTTTTTTTCTTCTCTCTCTCCTTTCCTCGGCTTCACTGCCCCATGCAGCACTATTTCTGTGATGCATGGAATACGTTTGACGCCTTGATTGTTGTGGGTAGCATTGTTGATATAGCAATCACCGAGGTAAGTACATGGCGTCTGGACCTGACTGTCCGTGCCTGCTCTAATACTCATTGTCTTTCCCCAGTTTATTGTTTTTCTTCCTATTTTCTCCTCCCCACCTCCTTATTTTCATTTCCTGGTTTTCATTTGTTTGTTTATATTGGTTTAAAGGATTTTTTCTTGTTGCTTTATTTTGAAAGTGTTTTTATGATTTATTTAACCTTGGAACGAGTTAGGCCTCCCTTTCCTTTAAGTTTTGATTGCTGCATCCTTTTCTCTCTTCCTTTACTCTCAGCCTGGCATGACTCACACTGTATAGGAGGATGCAGCTATGGGGAGCACGGAGTGAAAAAACCAAGGGACATTTGCAACTTCTGAGCAGCTGCTGGGGCGGGGACCCAAGCCTCTTTTCACTCCACCACACCTCCAGACCTCTGCCTCTCCCCCTCTCGCCTTTCCACCCACAGCGTCCTGGAAAGGAGCTCTCTCCAAGTGAGACACTGGATTAAGGCTTGGTCTTTGCCTGCATTGTCAGTCCAAGGCCTGGCCCATTACATTCACACTGAAAGGGCTTTGTCCGATTTAACATCAGCAGCCCATGCAGGCAACCTGGCCCGTCCAGGCCCATTTGGGAGAGAAGCAGAGAACTGGTCATGTTCAGAGCCCTGCCCTGCTTGCACCCCTCTTCCTTGGAGTGGCCAAAGAGTCAGGTGGCTGGTGACCCACCGAGAGAGAGCTCTTCTGAGGTCTTTCCTCCCTCTTGCTGGGGCAGCAGCACCTCTCTCCCACATGGAAGCCACCCAGGGAACGGACTCTTGTACCCGCCTGGTTCTCTCCCACTCCCGCCCCCACACCCAGCCCTGGCTCCCTGGCCTCAGACAGAACTCCAGCCCCTGCACTCCGAGGCCTCCTGCTGCCTTCCCCGAGAGTTGCCTCCTCCTATACAGCTCCTACCAGTTCCTGCACATGTCTCTTTGTTACCTGGCATGTTTAAACCTTCTCTTTATCTATAGGCGAGCCCTCTTGCAGTTAGTCTTTAACATGTGTTAATCTTTTGTCATAATTTTTCCTTAATTAAGAGACTCGATAATGTTTGCACAAATCTTTGATGCACTGAACCATGAATAACAGCATGGAGCAGATGCTGTCCAGTTTTGATCAAAGATGTTTAAAACTGCCCTACCAACCGCCACCATCTCCCCACTGTGTCCCACACCCCTTCTCCCTCCATACTTTGCTCCCCATCAGTTGAACTGACTTGTCATTTTATCTGCCTGATTCCTCTGATGAAAGCCCCTGTCTGTCCCCTCCCAGCAGATGGACATTGAAGGAGGCTGTCACGCTTCCCATACCCGCCCTCAGCCCCTAGCACCCTCCCCACTCACCCGTAGCTCCAGATTTGGTTGCCTCTCTGTCTCCCAGTTGTCTTTGTCTCATGTGTGCATGTGTGTGTATATGTGTGTATGTGTGTACACTTGCCCTTGACTTCTTCTGGTGAATGATAGATTATATTTAAAAAAAACAACAGTCTTCCTACACATGCTTTTTTCCCCCTCCCCTCATACTCTGCCTCACCCCTCCTGAGCTCACTCCCAGTTCTGCAGGCCGGATGGCCCAGGTGGTATCTCAGATGCTATTCAGAGCCATGAGTTGGTCATGTGTCTGTAAAGGCCAGAGCTTCAGGCTCGGAGCTGGCGCCGTGCCATGCCCTGAACTGAGGGCGAACTCAAGGAGAGGACAGGGCAGCGAGCAGCAGTGGGCCCTGCCCTCTGAGGATGGAGCTTTTCAGGCAGCAGTGCAGGCCCTTGTGAAGCCTGTGCCAGGGACCGGGAGCCTGAGAGACAGCAGCAAAGTGCCAGCCAGTGACAGCAAGCTGCTCCCCACTATCAGCAAGGCCCACATCAACACTCAGCCTGCCGTTTACCCCCAAACTGTTAGAGTTTCTAAAAGAAAGACAAAGCAAAAGAAATGTTTAGGGCATAAATTTCTGTAGAAGTGTCTACGTTGGCGGTAGAGAGGGAGGGTGCAGGACAGGAAGGAACGTAAGGCCGCCATGCAGACCCTTCCATTTATACGTGGTTTTCTACTGACAATTCACCCTTGCATTTGTCTCATGGAACTGAACTGCCCTGCGAGTTTGACAGACAGAAGTTATCATCCCCAGTTTGCTGCCGCTAAAGATGCTGGTGGAGAGGTGAAGTCCTTCTGTGCTGTGCAGCTGAGGCCAGCCCCTTACTCCTGGGCCCTGCCCGAGTTCCCTCTCTAATCCATGATGCCCTTGGTAAACACATGCATCTCACATGTCCTTCCACCAGCCAGGCTTTGTTCAGCCTTTAAGTTCTATAATTTATATTCAAAATAACCGTACCTGTTTTGATGGTCTACACAAAAGATGACGCATCAGCCCCCTCGGAGCTGTGATGCAGCCTCTCACCAGCCTCCCTTACCCCAGGCTCAGGGCTCTTCCTCCTCTAGACCGAGATGAAGAGTCACACTGAAGGGTGGTCTGGAGATGAATTGGGGACAGTGTGTGTGATGGAGAGCAAGGGGCGGTGTCCGATGAATGGCTTGTGAACCAGAAAAACCAATGTAACACCCCCAGGCAGGGGCGGTGTGGGAGAGAGGAGAGAGGGTTGACGTGAAGTCAGAGCTTGCTAGTGGCTGAGTCTTGCTTCTTCTTTTTCCTGGAAAAGAAGACTTCATTTCCTCCTCTGTCAAAGGAATGTGATTATCTTATGGGACTGTGTTTTGAAGCTCAACAAAGAGCATCTATTTTAAAACTCTATGTAAACTATAAAGTGCTACGGAATGGAAGAGACTGGCACCCGAGCAAATGACATTTTTTCCCAAATCCCTGCTGGAATAGCTCTAGCCAATTATATTTAGTTATAACTTGCGCCCACAGGCACTGTGAGAGCCCTTGTTTCCCAGATATGATTAGATTCTTGGAGATGGTTGACAGGTAGGGCCAGACCAAAGCCAGCGCAGCTCACTGACCGCGGCCCATACCACGCCTCGGCAGGGCTGTTCCCCAAGCACATTGGGTGTAGCCCTGCACTTGCATAGCAGTCAGTATTGTGGATGACAACTCATATAAGCAGTAACGGTTAGTCTCAGAGGTAGGTCCCTCTGCCCATAGGTTCTGCCTCAGGCCACTGGCAGCTCCTGGGTCTGAACACTCCCTGGTGCAAGCAGTTTATAGCTCCAGGTATCCCCTGGGGCCGCTCCAGGCCTTCCCAGAATTTTCTCGTCTTACATGTCATCACAAGATACTCACTCCTAGACATATGTTCTACTTGGCCTCAGGGGGATCCATGAGGGCTTTTCACCTGTAACTCATCATCTTTGACTCTTAAACCTACAGAAATTGACTCTCATTTCCCTCACCTAACTGCCATATTCATCCTAACCGCCCTCCAAATATTCCTCACATCGAAGCTCATCTCCCCATAAATGCCTTCTCTTTCCTCCTTGCCTTTACAGGCTATGACACCCCTCCCTCTGGGAAATGGGTTTCCCACCAATCCCAGCAGCCAGCATTCATTCATTCCACCATGTTTATCGTCTCCCCTTCTGTGTGCCGGGTACGATTGTAGGCACCTGGAGTACTTCAAACAAAAGCTCCCTTTTCATGAGCTGGCAGTCTAGGGTCAGGATAATAAGCCTGTGAGCAATGCACGGAGTATAGAAAACACGGAAATCATAGTCCATCGAAAGCTGGTAAGTGCTTTGTAAAAGGAATAGTGTCGTGTAAGGAGGTCAGAGGTGCTAAGAGGCAGTGAAGGAAGGTGCTATTTCAAATAAGATGGAAGTGAGGAGTTACCCACGCAGATACCTGGGAGGAGGGCTTTGTGGGCAAGAGGAACAGCTGTTACTGGTGCAGAATGAGCAGGGGAGACGGAGAGGGGAGGGGACCAGAGAAGGGAGCAGATTTTGGTTTTTATGCTGAGCAAGAAGGGGAGACACTGGTGCCTCTGAGAAGAGGTGTCCCCTAATCTGACTTACATTTCCGAAGGCTGGTTGGCTGTCTATAGGAGTCAGGGTGGAAGCACTACACCATGTAGAAGGTGCACGTGATTACCCAGGTGGGAGGGGACCGCAGCCTGCAACAAAGCAGCAATAATAGAGGTGGTGAAAAGGGTCCAATTCTCAGTCTGTTTTGAAAATAGAATGAACAGTATCTCCTGACAGACTGGATGTGTGAGTAGGAGGAAGAGGTGGCCAGGATGGCTGTGAGGTTTGGGCCTAAGCAGTGGGAGGATGGAGCTGGTATGAACCGGGAAAGACAGGAGATGGAGCACGTTTGCATGAGGAACTCATTGGGATGCGTCTATTTCACCCCTTAGTGGGGATGGC